GCCTCTTGAAGGCGTCTTGGAGGACTCTTGGGACGCCTTAAGGGCCTCTTGGACCGTCTTGAGGCCGTCTTGCGCTGTCTTTGGGCTCTCCTGCGCCTCTTCGACCACTTCTCTGATCGCTGTGGGTCTGCTGGGCAACGCCCGGCAAGGCGCCCTAGGAGGCGCGGCAGGGCCGGGGGAACCTTTTCCCAAGGGCGTCCAGGTGGCCCCAAAGCCCCGGATCCCGGGGAGTCCAGTCTTTTGAAGGGAGAGGTTTTTTTGTTCCAGCCTTCTCGGCTTGTAAGAATATTGGAATCGTAATAGGTTTCAAGGCGGGCCATGAGTGAGAGAGAGAACGAGAGAGAACGAGAGACGGAGAGATAGAAAAGTAAAGAAAGGGAGTATGGAGAAGGCGAGCGAGGATGAGGGAGGTAGAGGAGGTGGGGGAGGAGAGACAGAGGAATGGTGAGAAGTGAAGGGCATTGAGTCGAACCTGCATGGGACAGACTGCGACATGTCGCGCACATCGCACATATCTCCACGCATCTCCACATTGAAGGTCGAGGGGGGGAGACCGAAGTGACACCGTTGCCTCCAGCGGGGAAATCGGCTTCGGTTTCGGTTCGTGTCGTCCTTGTTCGCGAGGGCGATGGCGAGAGTGCTCCTCCCCTCGCTGAGCCCCAGTCGAGCCGAGAGGAGTCGCACCGGCCCAGGCGTGGGCTGGGTTGTCCTGCGATGGTCTTGTGGTCGGCCCGTGCTTGCCCCGCACTTGTCCCGATGGGTGTCCCGTTGTTGTCCCGTGGTTGTCCCGATGGGTGTCCCGTGGGTGTCCCGATGGGTGTCCCGTGGGTGTCAAGTGGTTGTCCCGATGGGTGTCCCGTGGGTGTGCCGTGGGTGTCCCGTGGGTGTCCCGACGGCTGTCCCGATGGCTGTGCCAGTGTTGTCCCGTGGTTGTGCCGAGGACCAGCCCGAGGGTGTCCCTTGGTTGTCTTGCGTCTGCCCCGTTTGCACCAGGATGGATCGTAACACCGACAGGTGCATAGTTTGATCGAAGCACTCACTGATGGGCATCGGGATCGGTAGATCGATGATTCCACCGACAGGTACTGATACCGATCGGTAGGTTGACAGTGAGACCACTCTGGGACTCAGCTCTGTATCCTGGGTCGTTCTCTGACAGTCTCGGGGCCCGTGGCGGCCCCAAGGAGGAGCCACAAAATGGCGCGAAGCACCTCGGGGCCCGTCTCGCTCAGGACCCGCCTGCTTTCCAGGCCTCCGACGTTTTTCCCGTTGTTTGAAGCATGCCCCCACCCCCCTGCTTCCAGCCTGGAACATATCCCTATCCCCATGATTGGCATCGCCTCGTCTCGATGCCGATCTCAAGGATTCCCTCAGTGTCTTAGGGCGCAGCCCTAAGATGGTCATCGCATTTGGGCTTGTCCATCTTCGGGATAGGGAGAAGCTCGAGGCTGGTTGCCCCCTTCTATGGTCTGGACCCCTTCCCCGGGACCAGGCTCTCGTCCCGAGCAGTTCTTTGATGGCCTCAGGCCCCGACGAGGGCCCCGAGGAGGCCCGAGATCGCCAGAACCCTCGTGTCATGGTTTTTCGCGACGCGACGGGGGCGTGGTGGTGGAGGATTTCTCCGAAGGGCTTAGGCGACCCGTCGTCCTCTCTCCTCCTCCTCCTCCTCCTCCTCCTCCTCCTCCTCCTCCTCCTCCTCCTCCTCCTCCTCCTCCTCCTCCTCCTCCTCCTCCTCTTCCTCTCCTCCTCCTCCTCATCCTCCTCCTCCTCCTCCTTCCGTAGCCATTTTGGCTCAAGGCTAAAAGTAACGAAGGTTCGGGGAACCGAGGTGTTGCGATTAGCTTTGGACCCATCCGTAGCCTCCTGGCTCAGTGATCGGGGCGCCCCGCGCGCGGGCCGCCGCATGCCTGTGGCGTCTCTCGGCGTCAAGAAGCCGAAGAAGCTGAAGAAGGGCCCGAGGAAGCACGACCTCGATGGTGACAACAGTGACGCCTCAGGGACCACCACCGCTCAGCCTCCTGGTGGCGCTGGTGCTTCTGCTGCTCTCTCTGCAGATAATCTACCTGCCCCTTCTGATGGCGACCCTGCTCATGGCGCTCATGGTGAAGATGAACATGAAGACTGGGGCTGGGAAGAAACTGGACCTGACGAGTACACTCGGTACCTGGCGAAAGAGGAGGCCACCAAGCTGCTCCGCGAATACAAGCAGACGATGCTGGACTCCATCAAATCCGCAGTGGACGAGGCCATCAACCCCTTCGCCGAGCAGCTCTCCAAGCACGCCGAGTCCGCTGCTGAACTCGCCCAAGGCGTCAAGGACCTCCCCAAGATGGTTGACGATGCTGCTGCTAAGCGCTTGGGTGGTCAGAATCGCCGCCTACAGGAGCAGATCGACGGGATGCATATTCGGCTGCGTGACCATGAGACCAGACTGGACACCCACGACTCCGACATTTCCTTCCTCAAGGCCGAGATCAGCAAGCTGCACGAGCTCCTCGCCGTCGCCAACGATGCCCCAAAGGCCCCGCTGCTCTCCGCCGCCGACTTTGATCGTGACACCGACCCGTGTGTTATCAAAGTCATTGCAGCCAAGCTCACGGCCCTCGATCAGGTTCAGCAGACCCTCTCTGATTGGATCGCTGAGGTTGGTGTTGTACCAACATCATTCAAGATCTCTTCCCCTGAGGCCGTCAGCCGCAGCTTCTCCATCAACTTCGTTGGTGCCCCCGCCCCCGCTGCTCGTCGAGTTGCCAAGGTGCTCGGTGCCCAACGCCTCGGGCCTGGCCAATGGAAGCGTTTCGAGACCACTGCAGCAGACGGACAGTCCACGGCTCTTTAGATCGGCCCCGACAAGAATCCGCGTCAGATTCGCATGGAGATGCAGGCTCGGAAAATTCGGGACGCCTTCAAAGAGATCGATTCCTCCAAGCGCTTGTATGTTGGCAAGGACCGAGGCTATGTCATGGCTGGCTGGGACCCGATTCTCAAGATCATCCCGAACCCTGGCAACGCACCCTCCACGCTCAACTGGGCCGACAATATCATTGCCAAGCTTGGTCTTCCGAAGCAGCAGTTATCAGCAGCTGCTGCCGCCATCGCCGCACCGCCCGAATCGGCTGAGTGGTGTCTTTAGTGGGCTGGAAAGATTACTGCGAGGTGCGTATCGAGGGCGCGTTTTGGTTTCCTTTACTTCCTGGAATGCGTTGGCGCTTCTTCAATACCAGGGTGCTCACTCCAAGGTGAAGCTGGACTACCTCCGCCGATTGGACTTTTTGAATGGGGTGGTTTGCCTTTAGGAGGTGCATCAAGATGCTGTGCAACTACGAGACTTCATCGGGAAAGTTCATCGTGGTGTGCGCATGTTCTCTTCCCGCTGCGAGGAATCGCTAGTGAAAAGGCGGGGTCGCCACCGTTTTGCCTGCCTCCTGTCCTGCAGTGGTTCATGCTGACGAACTTGTTCCAGGACGCGTGCTCCGTCTTCATCTGCAGCACGAAGGGCGCCATCTCTTCCACTACAATATACACAACCATGGTACCAATAGCGCCCAATTCCTGAATGTAGGCAAGGCGCTTGGGGCAGATACCAGTTTTGCCAGAAGTTCTCCGTTGGCGGCCGCCGTGGCAGTACATGGGGACTTCAGCTTTGCCGCTTCCTCTCTTCTTCTTCTCCACCGCCCTGGTCGCCGAGGGGGCCCAGGCAAAGGCCAGCGTGCTCAAGCGGCCAACTGGTCAAACATATTGGCACCTCTCATGGAGTTCACCTCGGACGAACCTACTCATTGTGACGCCAGCGCTCACTCGGTTCCTGCCTTAGATAGGCTCTGGGTCAGTCTCCCTGGTTGGACCGCATGCCAAATTTATGCTGTTCCCCGTGTGCTGGGGATTCCCGAGGCCTTTGCCGAGGAGGAGGTGAGTGACCACGCTGCCCAGTCTTGTTCTTTCTCGCAGCGCTCCTCAAAGCCCGAGGAGCATCGCAAGATCCCGAGGCGCATTTTCGAGCCCAAAGCGTTCCAGGACTTGTTGGATACCGTTACTCGGCAGCTAGATTTCACGCCCCGCTCACCTCCCAGGCAGATTGAACTCTGCAAGTGGGCAGTGAAGGAGGTTGCGCGTGAGATTCGTGATCGTCTTATGCGGCACGACTCCGAGTCGCTGGGCCCTCAGCTCCTTCTAGCGAGGCAGATTTCTCGGGCGGTATGGCGCAATGATGTTTCTCTCGCCGTTCGCCTCCGCGCTGCTCATCAGACGGCCAGAGACTTCGTGGACATCTCGTCGGGCACCGTCTTGCTAGTTCATGCTCCCTCGTTCCAGCAGTGGAGCGAAGCTGCGCAAGTGCGTCACGCTGACCTCCAACGCCTCCACCTGGAGGCAGAGCTCGCGGATGGACGGTCTACCCCTCAGCTCCGCCACCAACTTCAAGCTCTCGAGAGGCGCGCAGCTATTTGGTCACCACTTTCACGTCGGCTGGTTCTTCAAGGCATCAAAGATGCAGGTACTGGCACGTCCTCAACGTCTGACAAGATTCACATGCACGACAAGCCGGTGGAGCACTGGGCGCCGATTTCCACCGCCAGACCTATCAATGTTCTTTTGCCCGCGAGTATGTGAAGGGACTGGTCCAGCCAATGTGTTTTGATGCAGCACCGCCACCGACCCCGCCACTTCTTCGTGCAGTCGCCAAGAAATTTCGTCACTCAGAACCGGGTCTAGATGGCAGTCCCTACTCGGCGTGGAGCTCATCATTGCTTGGTCTCTCGGTGCTCTCAGAGGCCATGATGTGGATTCTCTCTGGACAGGCGTTGTTCAAGTCATCCAACGATACGCTCCAAGTTTGGCTACCGAAAGGCGAAGACCCTGCGGACAGCGCGGCCGCAGGTTGCACTCGGTCACCGTCCTCGGTCAGAGTGCTTGGGCTGCGCAATACCGGTATTAAGATCCTTACGGCAACGATCAATGCACGCTTCAGTGTCCCTCTCAAAACTTGGGCCCCTCGCTCTCAGCGAGGCTCTATCCCACAGAGGAACTTTGGAGTGAACTTTCTGGAGCTCGACACGGTCAGCAGAGTATACTCAGATGTGCCGTCAGCCGAATCCAATGTCCCTGCGCTAGACTATGGAGCTGCTTTTCCCAGTCTCTCTCAGGAGTTCATGTATGTGGTGCTCAACGAGATGCAGGTGCCGCGTGCCTTCCTGTCCATCATCGACCAGCTGTACTTAGAGCTCGAGGCTTTTGCAATGGTCCGCAATACTCCGACCCATGCATGGTGGGTTACGTCTGGCATTGTCCAGGGCTGCTCATTGAGCGGCTCCCTCTACGCTGCAGCCACTGCCCCATTTCTCGTCGATCTCCAGCTCCAGCTTGAGGCACCAAGGAAAGGTATTGCGCGTGCTTGCGCCGACGACATTGGTGCCGCCATCAGAGACATTCCCAGCCTGTCCATCTTAGCGGACATCATGCTTCTTGCCGAAAGATTTGCCACGCTGTCCTTGAGGATCGACAAATGCAACCTCGTCCCGCTGCACAAGCCTTTCTCGGAAGCTGTTGCATCAGAGGTTCGCTCGCTGCTCTGTGCACATGTTCCTGTCCTTGAATGCATCAACATAGTCGAGTCCCTCAAGTACTTTGGGCTTATTCTTGGCCCAGCTGCCGATGCCGACTCGTGCTGGACAGCTCCTGCGATGAAGGCTCATGAACGATCCAAGTTGATCGGCCACAGCCACGTTCCCGTGTCTCGCTTGCCAGTTCACCACAACACCCGCATCACCACAGTGCTGTCGTATGTCGCCCAATTCCGTCTGATGCCGCAGTGGCTAGTGCAGAGCGAACTTGTGGCTTGATCACGATCTTGTCGCTTACCATTGGGTACTTTCTCGATGTCAGCATGGCTCCAATTGCGCTCGGCGGGTGGGCCGACGATTAACTCATGGCTGGCGATGAGCGCTGGGTCCCTTCTTCGTACTGCTTACCGTGCCCTGCCTGAGCTCGAGCGGCTGCATTCGTGGCTCTACCGTCAGCACAGTCGTCTAGGAGATCACATCTCACTTGCACAGTTGTTATCATCTCGGCCATGCCCCGCCTTTTGGCGCAGCGAGGCATTCGTGGAGACGCTGTTCAACATCAAGCACGGTCCGTTCCAGCCCACGATTTACACACACGAGTTGCTGTCTATTGCGCGCCAGGCAGCTGCGCATCGTCTCCGCGTCCAGCCATCTGGCGCGGGCCTGCAGAGGTGCATCACGTTGGCGGTCAAGAAGCATCTTATCTCTCGCCCGCTTTGGAACGTACTGGTCGTGAGGCTCGCCCTCGCCCACCCTGACATGCGCGGCGATGGTGCATCTAAAGTGCCTGCGACGAGATGGTCCCACATCGAGAAATACCTTCGCTCTTGCTCAACCTCGTGGGCTATGGCGTATGTGAAAACTGCTGCCAGCGGATGGACTACGTCCTCCCGCATCCTTGGTGGCCGCGGACGCCTCCCCTGCCGCTTCGGCTGCGCGGGCGCGGCGGACCAGCTCAAGCGCTATCTCTCGTGCCCGAAGTTCCGCAAAATCTGCGAGGAGGTGTTGGGCTTCTCTCGGCCTGCTCACCCGCTTGGTCGTCTAGGCCTCTTCGGATCCGCGGTGGATGTCGGCAAGGCGGTCTTCGACGTAGTGGTGATGCACTTCGCCTACCATGCGGCGTCACACGCTGCTCCGTCTGAGACCTGGTCACCTGCTTTCGCTCGCTCTCATGTTGGCTGCTATTCGTGCTGTTTCCCTCGGAGCGCGACGTCCTGATCATCTACCGTGGCGGCGGTCCAAGCCCTCGGTGCCAAGGCGCAGATCAGTGATCTCATCGTCTTCGACGGCCTCTTCTCTTCTTCTGCGCCCTCTCCGTCGTCTTCTTTGGCCTCGCGCAGCGCAGAGGACTCGTCAGACAGTGGATGTACATCCGCCACACTTCCGTCCATGAGGACCATTGGCGGCGCTTTCGACCTTGTGGCGGGAGTTCCTGCGGCTGGCTTTGTGGCTAGTAGCACGCATGACTCACCTTCGCCTAGTGGAGCGCATACTTCGGGGGCCGGGCTTTGGCAGGCAGAGAGTGCCGACCCGTGCGCCGCGCGCTGGTGCCACGCGGGCACGCACTGCTCACCTGCCCCACCCCGCCACCCTGTCGCCCCTGGCGCTGCTGAGGCCCAGTTCCGACCCTTAGTCGCACTAGGGGCCCAATCCTCGCATATTGAGGGAACTGAGAGTACGCCGCGTCCTCCTTCTTCGTCATTGGGGCGCTCTACCCAGCAGGACTCAGAGAGGCAACGACGGGAACTTACCAATCGGGTCACCTGCTGGGCGTCCGCCTGGCCCCCATCCATCTCCTACGCTGTCCCCCAGAATGACTTCGACACGTGGAGGGACTGGTGTGTGGACTACGTCTTCGGTGTACTTCACTATCACGGCTTTTTCGTCCTACTCGCGAACAACAGCCCCGCCCTGATCCAAGACATGAAAAGAGGTGCTGAAG